GGGAAGCTCACGTCCTCAATATGTCTGCTGCGGGTCCACTGGCTAGGAGAGCGGGGGTGGGGGGGAATTCTCAGAGGAAGGATGGATCTGATAACTAAGCAGATACTTTGAAAGGTGTTTAACAGAGACATGAACCCAATCTTACTTCTTTCAGGACATACCCAGTATCTATCATTTGAAATTTAGAAAACACTTAGGAAGGCATAGATTTCCATTCAAGTACAAAATACATTTATATTCAAATATATGTTACTTAGGAATGGTTATTTCTGTATCTGTTACTCAATTTTCAATAAAGATTTTTCTAAGAACCGATTACCCAAAGTTCAGCATTGGAATACCAAGGTGAATGAGACTGGAGTCTTAAGAAGTTCAAGGTCTTTCTGGGGAGAGAAATAGGTAAGCTGATGTCTACAGTAGTATGTGGGCAATGTTATAGTAGAGGTACGTTCAAAGGACTGTGGGAACACAAATTACCAACTAACTGTACAGGGCCAAACAGTAAGGGCTTAGGTTTTAATTGTTTTGGGGGAACCTCACAGAGAGAGGCACAGAATAGGCATCAATTAACCTTTGTTGAATTAGATGATGTAAGTAGTAATTCCTTCAATTTTCAGGCAAGAAACCTGTCTGGATTTAGAGAGCAAGGCGGACAAAACCACTAACTGAAGATCTGACTAAGTTCATTTTAGGATATGCTTCTGAATTTCTTCCATCAATCAAGTACATCCATTCAACAAATACTTACTGAGCACCTGCTACTTGGCTAGGTACTGGTTATATAATGATGAACAGCATATGACAGGTTCTTGAGTCTACCAAGTCACTCTACCCCCAGAAGCAATGGCAGAAAGTTGCCCTAGAAACTCACCTTCAGTAATAGATTATAACAACAAATTACTAGTTGAACTCAATTCACCCAATGTTCACACAATGGCTTCAGACTTGGATTTAGAAACAAAGGGCTAGTTTAAACATTTAATTCATGAAATATTTCAGATATAAAGAGAGAAAAGCTAGTTTGGGAATTTTTTTTTTAAGGAATATTTCCCTTTTGTCTGACAGACACATTTGCTTTTTTTTGGGAACACCAACTTTTGATACCTAATTCATTTAGGAGTTATTTAATGAGTACCCACTCAGTATATTCCAGATACTCTCCAAGGCACTTAAGACACAAAGACAAACGTCCTCTCCTGTTCTCATGGACCTCATGTTCTAGCAGAGAAGACAATGACAGCACGAGACAACCAGTATTTGCATATGGTTCCCAGGGAGCATAATGGAGGAAGAATGGAAGCCACGGGCCAACCCTTGGTATCATGAGGTGCAATGAATGTAAACACGTGAAAATGCAGACATCCCAGCTGCATCCTGGAGTGTCGCCACCCTTGAAATAAAGACTCATGGCCTCGGACAGTGTGATTAGAGTTGTTAATATTTTGATTCTGGGTGACTAAGAGGCGACAGGTGTGTAGCCCGAGAAAGCCACCCAAACCCACTAACAGGCACGTGGAGACAAGCGGTGCTGAGTCAGGGTGCAGGGTGCACTCCAGCTCGATGGGCAGGCCAGGACTCTGTTGAGGGCTGCTAACCTACTGGGAAAAGTTAATCAAGAGTGAAATGTCAGAATAAAGACACAAAAGTTTCCACATAGGGTATTTCTGTGGCTATGATCAAAGAACAGTTCACTCCTATGTTTTCTGAGACACATTAACCAGACATAAGACCCTTCTAGCACAAGTTAGTAAACTAGATGTAAATTGTTTCTTTTTTTTTAAATCAAGTTGACACATCTGGTGGAGGGGAGGCTACAGAAAGGAAAGGGAAGCACCTGGATGTTGCTCTTTTACAGGCATAGGAGGAATCAGAGTGGGAGAGAAACTCACATAGAGAAAAAGCACGGGAAAGGTGGTGGAAGAGAAAGGACAGGAGGAAAAGAGATAACGGTTGAGAGGTGTGGCAGGGTCTTTGCCACACGGGTTCCAGAGCAGTATCACTCTGCAGGCTGGCCTTCCTATCCTTGACAGAGAGGCAGAGAAGCCAGCTCAAAGGTACAGACAGAACAATCAAAGCCTTCAAAGAGCACATTTGTGTAATTATTACTTTCTCCTGTAAAAATATTAAAACCTCACTGAAGGTTTCTCAGTGTGAAATTAAACTGCCTATATTAGAATCACTCAGAATGACTTTAAAAAACGCAAACTGACTCCTCTGGTCCCAGGCGCTTTGGGATCTGCTGGCCTTGGTGCAGACATGGCCAAGTCGAAGAACCACACTACGCACAACTAGTCCTGAAAATGGCACAGAAACATCAAAAAACCCTGTTCACAATGACATGAATCTCTAAAGGGAGTGGACTCCAAGTTCCTGAGCAACATGTGCTTTGCCAAGAAGCACAAGAGGGGCCAGAAGAAGATGCAGGCCGACAACGCCAAGGCCACGAGTGCGCGTGCCGAGGCTGTCAAGGCTCTCGGAAAGCCCAAGGAGGTCAAGCCCAAGATCCCACAGGGCAGCAGCCACGAGCTCAGTCGACCTGCCTGCACTGCTCACCCCAAGCCTGGGAAACGTGCTCTTGCCCGCATCGCCAAGCAGCTCAGGCTCTGCTGGCCAAAGGCCAAGGCCAAAGCTCAACCAAGGTCGCAGCTGCAGCTCCGACTCAGGCTCCAAAAGGCGCCCAAGCCTCCACAAAGGCTCCAGAGTAGAGGCCTTCATCTATTGATGTCAGGATATAAGTACTGGTGTGACCCCTGGGCTGCTGTCTGCACAGGGCTCATGTCCTCCTGTGCTATTTGTACAAACAAACCTGAGGCAGGAAAAACAAACAAACGAAAAACGCAAATTGTAGGCTGTTTCATCCTAGACCTTTTAGCGTGTAACAGACTTTCTAGGGTGGGGCCAAGATAATCTAAATTTTTAATAAGCTCCCAGGTGATTCTTATACATAGTAGACTCTGACAAAGATTATACGAAATGGGAGTCCCTCAGACCAGGTAGCACATCCTATTTATCTGTATCCAGAGAGTCTAGTGCTGGACCTGGCACAGTGAGTGCTCAATAGGTTTACTGAATTGAACTGAATACATCAAACAGATTTTTAAAGAAAAGTCACTCTCTTCCACTGTGCTGAAACAGCTGATTCCATTTTTTTCCATGAGTCTCTGGTCCATATACACAACTTTCACACTACTATAATTTCAAAGTACAATTTAAAAATTTTCTACACGTTTTCTAACTTTTTATGGCTATAAAATATTTTATTCAATATGCAATAAATGTCTTAGTTCATACCCCTTTTTTCTGAGTTTTGAAAAGAATTTCCTTAGGAGACCTTACATTTGAGTAGTGTTTTCAGTTTATGAAACCTTTTCACACAGTCTTCACTGTTTCTCACAACACTCTGTATGATAAATATTATCCTCATTTTGCAGAAGCGTATACAAACTCAAGAGATAAAATAACTTGCTTAAGGTTCCGCAGCTGGTAAGTAGTGTCTAATGAAAACCAGAGTCTTCTCCTGCTACATCCAATACCTGCTCCAAGACACCAAACGTCCAGCACATTTTCTGGCAGGAATCTGACCCAACAGTTGCCTGATGCAAAAACCTGTAATGGAGAATGTGGAAGATGGAAATTACATTTAAGGAGATCACTGGCCAGCCATATCCTAAGTGTATAAGGAACAGTTCTTACCTTTTGGCAAAGAAAACGTGTATATTAGTGGAAATCTTCAGTGAAAAGAACTTACTGTTCTTCAACAAATCTTTCTGTGACCCAAGCCCATTTCTGTAATCCCCAAGCAAAGGGGTCTGGGACTGCCCTGAGCACTCTGACACTGTCACTGCGCCTCCCCAGCAGCACCACAGACACAGGAGGAGGAGCAAGGACGACCAGCTGCAGGACGGACCGGAGCGGTGCTGAAACGTTAAAGCTCTCCTAACATCAAGCCTGGTCTCACAGGGCGCTGGGGTGGCCGCTGAGGGGACAGTGCAGGGAAGCGTTCCTCCACTGAGAGAAAGGCCCACTTGACGGGTGCACTGCCTGGTGAATATACCCTGGTCGGGTGCAGCCCTCCAGGGGAGGACAGGCTGTCCCAGCTGAGCAGGTACAGAGACTCTATTCTGTAGAAGAGACAGCCGAAGAGAAAGTGCATGGCTGTGTTTCCAATATATTACCCCTGCATGCCACTGGAGATGCAGGTTTTGTTGCTCTCAGGTCATAATCAGAGTTCTAAAAAGATAAAAAAAAAATGTTCTCTCTTAAGGCAGAGAGTTCTTATTCACTGAAGGTTCAGTGAGTAAATGACTACGGACTGAGGAAGATGCACAAGAGGGTAATGTACACATCACATCCAGGGGAAGGGATATGATCTCTGAGAGATTTTCAAAGCTAGGATCCTTGGAAAACAGCAAACCAGCAGTTCTTGTGGAGCCAGTGTGCAGACAAGGTTCTGTACCTGGCAGAAGTTAGGTTCTGCCAAACACAGTTCTAGCTGTGTACATGTGTATTTGTAGCATAAAAAAAAAAAACCCTTTGCTATAGGGGCCCATTAAGTTTCTATTCTCAGAGTATTGTCTTGAAATATCAAAGGTTGATCACTTTGGGGAGGATATTAATAATTCCCATCAAAGCTCTTTTACCTACCTATGTATATTCTAGATAAAAAGTTCTCTGCTTTCAGTTTCTCTGGAGGCTGAAAGCAGTGAACTTAAATTGTAGTCTTACTCTCCCTCATTGTTGGGAATCCCTAATAACCAATCTCCATAACAAATAAACTCATCTTTCATTAAACTAGGTGAATTTCAGGCATAGTAAGCTACAAAGGAACAAGGTCCACATATTGTCCACAATATAACATATTGTGGCTATGTTTAAAAATTTGTAAACTGTAAGATGATGTTCAAATGATAGTCATTCAATTAATAACAATTATGAACAGAAAGGTACAGCAGAAAGTTACTGAAGAGTCGTAAACTATGTTAATTCAAAGATTAGCTGTCTGAATGACAGTTTAGGAATCATCTAAACTCCTGGTTTCTTTACAAAGGTCCCCCAGAAATTACCACATAGTGCACTAATACTGGCTGTAAATCCACTAGATTCCAAATCAAACTGTGCAAGAGCCAACTAGAGCCTGAGCTCCAGCAGACCGTCTCGGTTTCTGCGGAGTGTTGACAACAATCCTACATGACCTGTCTTATGGAAATCCTACTGAATCATTTTTACGTAGGGTAATTAAGGTTGCTTTCCGCTCTTTTCTTAGTGCTTTTTCTATCTTTTAATTGGAACATAAACTGGGAAGAACTACAATCAGATATTACTCCCACCTGTTTTCTTTTTATTATACATACTTTAGATTGCAGACTGAATACAAATATTGATCAGAAGCCAAAAAGCCCCACACATCTCTTATCAATTCAATCCAGACCAATCTGTCTTTCAACTCCGCATTTTTATGTTCTTGCCTCACCACTTGCTAAAATAAACAGATGAATAAATAGCAATCTAATCCAAATACGCATCTTTCACCTATAATTATCTGAAGTAAGAGCTTTGAAGAAGGGTAGAGTTAATCCATCTCACCAACTGCATCTTCAATGCCTGTTCAGTCGTGCTTGAATGTCTAGATTCAATTTATAAAGAATATGAATGTGTAGCACTGTAGAGAGATGCTTCTGGCAGACTCTGAGAGGGACAAAAGGTCAAGCAGTTCCTTTGCTGTTCTGTGACAGAGTCTCTGGGCTGGGTCAAAGGGTGGGAGGGATATGTCTAGATCTGGAATGGATCACATACACAATTAAGTTCTTGTCACATCCCTAAAAAACCAAAAAACAAAGCCATGACAGCACAACTTCCCCAGGCAAGAGGACAGCCAGATGGAAAGATACTATTTTTCTCCACCTACGTCAAAATTTGAAATGAGAATGGGAATTATGGAAAAAACATTTCTAAGTTTTAGAATACACTCTTACTTGGATTACTATTTTGAGGTGACGTTTGGAAATCTTGGGACAACAGACCTGGTTTTTCCCTTGTTGGAAACTGGTTACTCGAGTGAAAATTAATACCCTCAAATCACCTTTCAACACACAAAATCAGCCCAATATTATTACAGAATAGATGGTCCTCAACAATTATATCCAGACATTTCATTCATTCTATGTAGAATTATAAATGCTGTTTGTACGTAGAATTTGAATATTCATATATTAGCCGACAAGTGGACATTTAAAAGTTTTTCCCTCTTGATGCTGCCTGCAAGCAACAGTTTAGTTTTGGCATTTTCATTACCCTTGTCTGACATTAGTGTTCGTTTTTGTCCAGTTCTTGGCAAAACATAAGAACTGAACCAAAGATGGAAATTAGTAGGCTAAGTGGCAAATGTCTGGCTTCAATGAGATACTTACTATGTGATCAACTGTGAAAGAAAAGAACGAACAAATAAGTATGAAGGTTTTGAAATATATTGCTGGAGACTATCAAAAAGATAAGGAAGAATGTATGTTTGACTCCTCGAGAAGGACCTTCTCCCATCTCACATATGCATACACTGAACACACTTAGGTGTATGTACTGTTACACTTTCAGCCATTTGATTTCACTATACATTTCTAGATACCTAGTATACATTAAAATGAAATTCAAAGGTCACACTCTAAATCAATTATTTTTAGTGACTATGTCCAGCACAGATTCATAGAAGATTAAGAGACAGAAGGATCCTTAAAGTACATCTCCTTCAAAATGACAGTTCTGCAGATGAGACAACTGGAGGTCACAAAGATGATCTTATTCGCCTAGTGCTTCTCAGCTAAGCTAATGGTGGCAATGGGACCAGAACCTGTGGTCTCTCTCATTCAGTGTTCTTTCTATCACTATCATTTCTGATGCCCAGCCATCATGTTAATGTCACAATTTTATCTGATTCCTCAAAAATCACTGCAGGCATGATTCCTGATAGCCTTGGAAATTACTAGTGCATCCAGGTTTGGGGCCTGTGAATGTTTGTGATTCTCGCTCCACAAAATACAGCATCAAGAATGCCAGGGGGAGAGTACAGCTGAGTGGTAGAGTGCATGCTTAGCATGCACAAGGTCCTGGGTTCAATTCTCTGTATCTCTATTTAAACAAACAAACAAACAAACAAACCTAATTTAAAAAAAAAAGACCTGAATGCCAAATCAAATTAACTGATGTTACAAACATTTTTAAATGGTTTCTGCACTTTATCTTCCAGATCTAAAGCTAAATGCCTCCTCCAGTAAGATTATCTGTGATTGCCTTGTTCTTTATAAAATTTTACAGGCCATGCCATATTTTAAAATAATACATTTGTTTACTTAATGACTGTGTATCTTTTATAATAGACCATAAATTCCATGAAGGCAAGGGTCATTTCACTATTGTACCTAGCACCGTTCCTGGCACACAGAGTAAGTTCAAATAATATTTGTTGAGTAAATAAATGAATTTAACTCTCTCCCCTTGGCTGAGGCAAGCCTTATGGAAGCCGTAATTATCCCTTTTATCCAGTCTTAAACTGGGTATCTAAGCCCAGGGATTAAAGTTCCAGGGAAGTAGATTTTAGTTCAGCAAAAGCTACCAATTAGAGAGATTCAGAAATGGAATGAACTGTTTTGCAGGGTACTGAGCTCTTTGCCAAGAGGCTGCCAAGGTGCATAGGATCTCTCTGCTTTGTGCAGAAGTTTGACCTTGACCATCTCTCAGTGCCTTTCACGACTTCCAACTCTGAAGTTCTTTTCAGTTGCTTGATTTTGAGTTAGGTTAAAGTAAAGTGCATACAGAAATCATTAGGAAGTAACCGAAGTCATCTAGTGAGACTTAGAAAATTGATTTTTCAGGTATGTATGCCTTTTTATAATTGTTTGATACATACAAATCCTGAGTTTACAATTTGCCATAAGTCTGTTTATCCTTACCTCAATGAAAACTAGAAGATTTTTTAAAAATTTGTGTAGCATTCCACAGTTTTAAACACACATGCACACACACACACTTTCATGTAATTATGATCAGCTCTGTGAGGAAAATGATGCGTACGTTCATACAGAGGAGGTGGCTTACTCAAATTTATACATGTAAGTGCTAGAACTGTCAGGCTTCAAACTCCCAAATCAATGATCTTCTAACTCTAATACACTCTGTTACTTTTTGACACCAGAATTATCCACCCTTTAGGTTTAGCCATACTGTATCCTCATCTTGGATCGAAAATACCTTCCTTCCAAATTTCACTTGGAAAAGGCCAAATGGAATTTAAAAACCTGTTTTTCTCTTTGATAGGTATCAAAAATCTATTTTACTGATTATCAGAGATGTTATAAATATCTGACACAAACTAACTGTAACACAACAGTGATTAGGTTAAATAATTAAAACTTCTTGTTAGCTCATAACTAAGCAGCAGTTGTTATTAAAAAAACTTTTTACTGAATTGTAGTTGATTTACAATGTTAATTTCAAGGATCAATAGCTATTAAATGTGATTTTTTTCACACAGTCTGATGAAAAAAAAGATTTCAACTCACAATAGCAACTTTATTAACTCAATTAAGACCTGAAAAAGGATTTTCTTCTGAAAATAAGATGGGAATTTATCATAGGTTAAAGGGCAAGGAAGAAGAGATCCATGAACATTTTATTTTTAGCTACTAGTTGTTTCTCAAAGGTGACACAGGGCAGTGGTCTACAGATTAAAGACAAAATAAAATACACTATTTCATCTTGTCTTAGAGTTTGAAAGGACCTTTCAGACCATCTAGTTCAATTTGTTCATTTTGTCTTAATTGACACAATAGATTTGAGATTCTATCTGCTATAAGTACCTCTTCTTGAAGGAGTTCATCTTTCTGTGAAATGGCTTCAACTTTCCGGAAAAATCAAGATCACGTGTATTTTCCATACCTCTTATGGCATGACAATTACATGCTGAAAATCTCTGCATTTCTAAAATTCAAATATGTATTCTCCTGGTATATGTGTTCATGTGCAGTACCTCTGGCATGGGGTGATTTTCCTTAATCAGTCTTCCAGCTATAAAAGACACGAATGAGTAAATCTTGGAAAAGGGATAACATCTTTGATGTTGTCAATTCCCAGGATGCACTGCAGATAGCGTTCAAATCCCATCCCAAAACCGCCATGTGGCACAGATCCAAATCGACGGAGGTCCAGATACCTGATTTTGAAAAAAGAGACTCATTAACCTATAAATGCTTTATAAGATCAGGTGTTATGGTAAAATTTTATGTTTCAAAAGTACTTTGCAATCATTTGTTAATGTCACATCACCTAGGTAGACACTTTTCACTCCACAGACAGATGAAGGACACGGGGAAGTTAAAGTGATCTGTCCAAGACTACCCAAACAGTAGCAAATTCTGACATGCATTCATGGGCTTTGGTCACTTGATCCTTATTCTTCTAAGTTAGTTACATACTTATATACAGAAAACACGTCTCATGAAGCTGCAGAAAATTTCTTAATTTTCTTTAAAGATATTCATCTTCTATGTCTTAGTATGTTAGTGATAATGCTTTTTTTTCTTACCAAAATCATATTGTTCAATACATAGAGGAGTATTATAAAAAGAGATTTCCTACTAGATTAGACTGGAAGCTACATCAAGGCAGGAACTGCATCTTATTCAACCTTTATCTCCAGTGACTACTCAAAGTAGATGCTTCCTATATGAAAATCTATTGTTTGAAGGTATAAAAATATACCCCTGAGCAATGGAGTGAGGAAAAACGTCTACTTCTCTGATTTAAGCCTACTGGAAGATATTCAGAGTCATTTTTCTGAAAAGCTACACAGCCTCGGGAGCCCACCCATGCATGTTCTAGTTCCACTTAAGACCACACTCTAGAAAACGGTATATTCAAACTCAGATTCTAATACAGAAGTCTGGAATAAGGTTATTTTAGGAAAGGCAGAGGAGGAGGAAGACTCTGAAAATATTTTTTATTATGTTATTTGGTGGGGGGAATTCTTGAGTTATAACATATTGATTAAAATAAGTTTATAGCTTCTCAAATGATCTAAAAATACAGTTTAAAACTTAAGTGCCACAATGGCTCCTCTAGGATTAAAGGCTATATCCTATTTCCTCACAATTAATAACAATGATTACATGTACTGGTATTTTAAACAGTTAAGATTAGGAACTTCCCTTTCGAAAAGAAAAGATGAACTGCAACTAGGTGAGTTACGATCAAGTGAGAGATGAGTACGACACAGTATCTAGCATAAAGCTTCAAATTAGTAAGAACTCTCAGGAACAATGGAAGGAACACAGTCTTGAGTAACTGAAATGTTTGGTAGCTGAATCAACTTTAAGTTTATAAGGTATAGGGGCAGGGTATACTTTGATTTATTGAGAAAATGAGAGGAAGGGCATAACAGAACACCTGCCACAAACACCTGCAGGATCTGAGCCGGCTGCCAGAAATCGAGCACCTAGCTTCAGCTGGCTCTCAATTTCTCATACATCGATGTCAAAACATGGCATAAATGTCTGGAAACTGAATTCAGAAGAGGGATTCCACCTGTAGCATTTTCCTTGCCTTTGCTTTGATAAATGGAAAAATCTACTTCTAAAAAACAAGTTTTCTAAGGAATATGCATTTGTTTGATTGTTGTTAAACTAATTCTACGGTAGCCAGATTATGGAAGAGATGGTACAAAAATTGTGGAACTAGTTACAGATTTTATTTGCATGTGGCATGTAGAAATAGGAAGTGAGAAAATTCTGAAGACACCTGGGGTGGCGACTCTGCGGCAGAACACTAGCAGAGGTAACAGTCTTGAAGACTTTCAAGGTCCTTCTAACTTCAAAATACTATAATTACCATATAAAAGGGAGCAGATTCCAACTGTTAAACTTCAAGCAAGTTAATTTTAAAAATCTTCACTGGTTTTCTTCAATGATTCAAGAATCGGGCAGCAACCCATGTAGCAAACAGAAAAGGGCTCCGAATAGCTGTACAAAATCAAAGATTTTTACAGGCAGAAGTGGGTGGGATAAGGGTGTTACCAGTAGAGAGTGGGTTGTTTCAGGCAAGGTCACTCTTCTTTGGAGAACGAATGGGGTCTATCAGGCAGACTACCTCACTAGTGCCGGCAGGTAAATCTAGATTGACTGGTTTAAAAGTTCACTCCTGGGAGAGGTTGAAACTGTAATTAAGTTAGGTATTAAGCCTCAGTTTGGTGATGTGGGCTTAGCCACATCATTTTGGGCCCGTTGTCTCTTTTTTTAATTCCATTTTGGGCCTATTATCTCTCTTTCTCTTCTTTTTAACAGAAAAATAAATATTTATATTTGGAGATGTTAAGAGTCTGAAAATCTTACTTGGAAAAGAATAGTACTGAAATGATTAATAAAGACCAGAAAAGGTCTAAACCAACAATTAAGATTTGTAAATAGCTATG